CTCAGCTGCAGAGTGAACTAACATAGTTTTGGTGAGCTCGTACAGTATATATGCGCTCGTTATCTCCAAGTCATGCGGTTCGGCTTCCGTTACTCGTCATCCTTGTTCTTACACCCCTTCCTCTAGTGCCATGATTTCCAAGATCGTCATAGCCCTACATGTTGTCTTGACACTAGTCGTACTCGCAGTAACCGTCAGGACTCTACAGGATGAAGCGAATGAGAAGAAGGGAGTAGTGCAGGTTCTGGTGCGTAACTCATCACGCCGACAACGCGGGACTAACGGCAGCGAAGCTACATGAACAAGCAAAGCGCTTCGTTCAGGTTCCTGACTTGGTCGGGTCCATCGCCACGGCGGTGCAAAGTGCCGCAGCCGGCGTGGTCACTGCCGCGGTCGCATCAGGCGAGTCCTTGGTCGCCGCCAGTCTACCGTCTAGCATATCAGTGGGCACCAAATACGCGTGCGTGGCTTCAGAATGCGCCGCGATTCCTGGCCACGCCTTTCGTCTGATGCAAGACCTGGCCCCGTTTGTCCCTTCGTCCGAGGAGATCGAACAGCTGCAGAAGCTGGTAGATAAATGCCCTAACCTGGAGACCGTTTTGTTCGCCGGGCTCGGCTTGGTTTTGGTGTCGACTACACTGCTACTTGCCGGGCTCAAGTTCAGGCTGCTTCGCTTCGTATCGCTGGGGCTGGACGTTGTCGCCGCCGTCGTCTTCGCGGTGGTCACGGCCTATACGGTCTCTCTCTACAAGACATCTCAGGCTGTGGCAGGCCTGCTTGGAGTCGAAGCGAGCAAGGGAGACGTTTTTGGAGCATCTATCGCAGACTTGACCCTGTGTCTGATTATGACTGCGCTCGCTATCGCGCAGACTGTACTGTAGAAAAGGGATTGAGATGATCGGGGGTTCCGGCGGGTGATGTATGATTTCCCAGTCAAACAGGGCGCTTTTCGCATACAACATCATATAAGAGACGGCGGACAAGGGACGGAAGTAGCCTTCTTGGATCGAGCAGAGAGCCAAAACAATCAGATTGCATCGACGGCTCAAAGCTCATTTGGACCAAGCTGAGTGCTTCGTATACATAACAGAATGGCCGCATTCCATTCCTGAATAAATTCATCAAATGTAATGTCGCCATCGTAGGACATGATCCCAGCGCCCCAGAAGATATCCTTAGGACCATCGTCCCGCGGCAATTCTCTACACGTCATCTCATCGTTCACAGCCCATTCTCAGGCGTCAGTACGATTATACATGGTCAGCATGAGCGTCCGTGGTGTTGTGTCCCTGAATATCACGATCGTCTTCGTGTCCGGACTGAGCGGGCTGGCGGGCAGACCACTTCATGATATCAGGCAGCTCATGCGCCTCAACACGGACTCTTGTCAGTCGGACGCACCGGATGATCCTCCTATGGTCATCAGCCAGCAGACGTTAGAGGAGACTCTGGCGCGCCTCGGAATCTCTCCTGAAAAGGTGCGATCTAACAGTCGGTCGAGAGGCGGGCTTACGGCTCGTCGGCTGCGATGCCGCAGGATCGGCCATGGAAAGTCCCCGCGATGGCAACCACGTCCCCGATCCGGTGTCCCCGAAGGCCACGACAGCCGGACTGCAACTTGTCATCGATCGCATTGCCTCGAGTATCCAGAGACTTGATCACCAGCTCCGTGTTCTGGGCGACGCACAAGAGCGATTGCGAAAGCTGGCGTTGTTGACGACAGAGGAGGTGGATTGGGATGATCCCGTCACACAAATTCGCTCGGAGGAAGCGCTCTTCGACTGTGAATCGGAGGTAGAGGAGGCGTAGATAGAAAGGTTGCTTGGCTACGATTACCACAGAGTTCACCGTACATTAGCCTTGAGGATTGAATCAAAAAGATGTGCGTGTGTGAGTATGCACCACTAGGGGGAGCGCGCCTGCAGAGATATTCACAGAGGGTGAGCTTTTTGAAGCGTTCACGTGCCCAGAACAATGAGAAGAATCAACACCCTCCATCCTCCTCTATGCAGCAGATGACTTGCGGAGTGGTGGCCACAGGGCTAGTCCTTGATCCGTTGCCGGACCTGTCTACGCCTTTACGAATAGTCTGACATGACGCGACCGTGATGGCATCAGATTAGATGGCCCAGCTAGAATGCCGGCGGCCTTCTGGGTGCTCGGTGGTCTTGAAGGGGCTCACGTCTGTATGTGTTTCATTCTACCGATCCATGATCACATAAGTTTGAGTCGTTGAACCAGAAGGATCCAACCTGACCCCGACTGGACACCGTCACCCTTGACGAGGAACACATCCGGTCAGACGTCATCCTTGCCGATGGTCCAATCCGAGCGAAGACTTGAGACGACCTCGTCACTGGTAGCTGTGTCATTTTTGATATCTCGTCTCAAGCCTCACTTCACAGCTTTTGGGCAGCTATCGTATCGTCGTGGGAAGGCAGGCGTGGATCTTGGTGAGCGCGCCTGTGTGCATTTGCCAGTGTTTGTCGAAAAAACCAGTGCTTGTCGAGAAAGACTATTGTCTTGCTTGTGGGTCCCACGTCCGATCGAATCACCGCCGACAGGTGACAATCTTCTCAGTTCGACGATCGTTGATTGGTGAATGGGTGCTTTCTGAAATGTGGCTTGAGCACTCGAATTTGCGACGGGTAGGTAATGAGCGACCTCAGCTACAGTACGTCCCATTGGTCCCACATCTACTTGGTAGAGGTGACCTTGCTAGTAGTGCAGTCGACCGATCTGACGCAAAATCGCCATACAACGGACAGCGGCAGCTCCAATGGGCCTCTTGCAGCGTTCCCGGCAAGCCAAGAGCGGCTGCAAAGTCTGGTTGCTGATGAGGGGCGAAAAAGCTATCGTCCACTATTCCGTCTCAAGCCCAGCCAAGTCCCCAAAGCGCAAGAACTGTCCACTGCGGACTGAAAAGTCGCAACGAGGTGGGCCTTGCTATTTCCACATTGCGCGCTAGGACACAAACGTCTCGCCCAGGAAAACACAATGACATCGAGCGAGCCTCAGGCTAGAGCGGCAATGAGCGGCGAGTCCAAAATGGAGCTTCTCTTGGCCTGTCGAAAAAGCTTCCCTAGTCCCTCCAAGCTGCACCTATGTCGCTTTTTGCTGTAGCCGGCCATCTCGAAGTTGTTTTTCGGCATCTTCAACGTCTTCTCGGGGGCTGGCTGAAGCCGATCTTGCGGTCGATGGCGAGTGTGTGAAGGGGTGTGTTGCTTGAGGATTGAGGATCAAATTGTTCCGTCGATGACTGGTCTGCGCACCTAGTGTCCCTCTCCGTCTTCATGACCCCCAGCAATCCACTCCTCGAGGGCAGCCATTTGGTGCTGAGTCGAACGACGTTGCAAAAGACGCTTCTGGCTCCTCGAACCACCGTGTTGTCCCCGCAAACTCCGAGGGCAAATGCTACCGCGCCGGCGATGCCCCGCCCATAATAGTCCCATTTCTCTGCACCGCAGCCCAGAAATCAAGGCGTCAGCCCAGATCTAGCCTCCCATTATTGCCGCGACCCGATCCGCCTCCGACCCGCGACCGGCCGCGTCTCGCACAAAGTGAACAGGGGAGACAAAGCAACGTCCACGCCGATGCGGCTATGTACGCTCCCGCCTGCCGACTCTACCTCAGTTCCGATGTCAAATTCGATCGTGGAGCGTTGTTTCCCCGAAACCGGCCCGGTCGCTTGACTTGACTAGGTCTGCTGCCGTGGCTGGTTCTCGAGAGCATCCCAAGCACAGCACCTAAAGTGCGATCATTCCCCTCCCACCCCATATTTTCACGATGCCTTCCGGCCCAAGTCCGACTGTGATGCCTCCATACATTGAGCTGACCCATGTGGCTCCTTTTTAGTCGGCGCTACTGACGGGCACGGATGGTGGATGCCATCCCAGTCTTGTGCGGTATCCAAATCAGCTAGTCACACTGGGGGCTCTACGTAGGATCACCTCTGAAGACCGAACGTCGCGACGGGAACCATTTCGCGATCGCGCTATGGATATCCACATGTACAGCATGTCTTTTCGCTCGTTTCCATTTTTCTCCCGCATAATTCAATGTATTAGTCAAGCAGCTAGACGAGTCTTGCAACCATTATGGTCTAGAAACCCTCAAACATCCATTACCAGTTAGAAGAAAGACTAGCCAAATACAAAGTGTCAGACATATCAGCCGGCCGGCTGGTAATCAAGCTCCCGCAGCCACACATTGGTTCGGAGATACTGGCGCAAATCTTCTCTTCTCTGGAACTCGGAAAACAAAGGGTGGTTATCGTCCATCCGGAACCCGCCCGCAAGATCGTAAAGGACGTCCCGCGTTGCATTTGCAGCAGATACTGCGAAACCGGTCAGAAAGCATTCATCATCGAGAACACAGAGCGTACCGAGGACCAACATATCTCCCATGTTTCCAAGTGCGTCGGGCGATGTGCGGCCGAACAAGTTAGACGCTTCGCCCCATAGGCTCGCCGTTAGGTCAGGGCTGCCGACATAAAGCCGCGCTCTTGTGCCAAAATCCTTCACGCGAGTCGGCTCACCGTGTGATCGATTGCTGCCGCCGTGGAGATGCTTGTTGATCAGCCGCTCGGCGTCGGCCGTGCCCAGGACATGTGTCGGGGCGCACGCAGCAATCTGCTCGTCACTGGCACACTCTGGTAGCAGGGTCTGGAGACCGCCGACAGACATTCCCTGTGTCTTTGTGTCCAAGAAGATGGAAATATCGAGGATCTGTTCATGACCAGTCAACCACGTCGATCAACAGGAAAGGCTAGGTCACGATGTACGTACGTAGCCGTTATCTAGCGTGTCGTCATTCAGTATGGGATTCAGGATAGACTCAGCCGCATGCACGATATCTGGTGTAGTCAGTCACAGAGACCGCCTCGTTCTAGCACGTCTTCCTCAACTCACCGAGGTTGGCTACCTGCCAGATAAGGTGGATCTGCCGCGTGCGACCTCTGCAGTGGTTGTATCCGTAGACCAGCTTCTTGAGGTACGGCGCCTGAGCTGCGATTCCATGACCCGTAGCCACCATGAGCACCGCCTCGTAGTCCCACACCGGCACGCTGACGCCGTGCGGGCCGGAAAGAAAGGTCAGCCGTGGCACGGCGCGCTCGTGGAATACCGAACAAGACTGGAAGTGAACCTCTGCACGGTTCGATAAAAAGATCGACGATGTCCTGTTCCGCCTCGGCCCACGAGGTCACGACGAAGGGGTGGCTCTCCAACAGGCGGACTCTCGGCATCCACACAAGCAAATACTGGCCCGCCTCGAAGGTAAGTGGCCTTGATAGCTGAATCGAGACGCGCACGGCCCCGGCATCATGATTGATGTAGGCTCTGCCAGACGTTCGTCCCATCGCCTTGTTACGGAACGCCATCAGGCTCATTTGTGAAAAGGTTATCAGCGCCGTCACAGCAAGATAGACGTACAGCCAAAGCCATGAGCGACCGGCCATCGACCGCAGATGGAACGCTAGCCCCACCGCTGCCAGACAAGCAAGCGCTTGGTGGGCTCTCAGACAAAGCTCGTAGATACGGCGTCGGAAAAAGGGGAGAAAGGTCATTGTTGCCGCTGCCACCATGGCGATGGATCCCTGCGAGAGTAAGCCGAAGAAACAAAACGTGATCATGGAGATGGCTCGGCTACCGTGACCATGAGGAGCTCGCTGGCACCATCGGAAACTTGGACCGAGAACTTGTCGTCTCCCATGGCGCTGATGATGTGACCCGCAAGGAGAATTGTGGCGACCCGGCCCTGCCACCTGTGAAACACTGCGTAGTGCCGGAGCGGTACGGCGAGTATGTCTGCGGTGAAGTCCAAGCAGGGTCCAGAGAACAGGGGAAGCATGTTGAGGAGGGCCAGGTTCCCGGAGCGGGCGACAAGGGTTGACGGTCGGAAAGTCAGGCAGAACACGTTCACGCCTAGGAGGAGGGTTGGAATGAGCAAGGAAATAGCGTTCCAAGGACCAAGTAGCGAGTGGCGATGAACGAGAAACCGATAGACGAGATACTTCTCCATAAGATGAGCAAGTTGTTTCCGAGCCCGTACTGTGCGGGACAGGGCGTTCAAGAAAGCAAGACCGACAATCATGCCCGCAAGACAGATCGCGTAGGAAGCGGTAAACCAGTCCATGAGCGCTTGTGACTAGGAGAGAGGAGATCCGGGAGGAAAAACAGTAGATAAGTACAGACGAATGATGAATACAGGAAAGGACCGAAGAATCGAAGGACTGAAGTACATAGTCCAGGGAACATTTGCAACGCTATGGAGCATATGAGTGACAGGCATAATTGGCCATCCGTCTTCAGCAGAGCAGGAAACAGCCGGAAGAAGATCATTTTGGCACTGGTGTTGCCCTGTCTCCACATAGATACTCCCGCGGGAAAACCGCTACGCGTGTCAAACTGACGAGACCGAGGAGACACTCGGTATCGCGATGTCTAAGAAGCGGGTGCTGTAGGTCTCGGTCAGTCGCCTGGCTCTCTGGCGCGAACTTCAAACGTAGCTGGTGATACGAACACTCTGCAACTCAGCGACGGACGACGCAGAATCGATCGCGACGAGGAAAGCAAACCCGTCCGAGTCGGGCGCCCAGCGACCGAGGTCGTCGATGCCTGGCGTTTCTTTGCAGTACTTTTGCATGAGGAGTTGAACGACACGGCTGAGAGCCGTGAGATGACGGCGGCTGTGGCCTCTGAGCGGTTGGCAGAGGTGCTGTTCGGCTACACGGTTTCTAACGTCAGATGCCGGAACCCTAAGCGTGTACTGATTGGGAGGTAGGTCAATTTAGGTCAATTACCGATCTTCACCACTCCGCGTCAGTCATCAGAACGTTCCTCCATCGATCGAAGTGCTCCAAGCCTTCTCCTCTAAATAGCTGAGACCGTCTACGACCTGGATTGGCGCGGGCGTCAGTCAGATCTTTGATGGCTCAATCGCATCCATCTAGCTCCATTCCTCTGCTTACCTGCCCGACTATGGCACCCAGCTGCGCTTCGTCGGGATATATCGGACATTTTGCCACATGTAATAGACTGATAGCCGTGGCCTCGAAGACGGCGTGGAAAGATGTGGACGTCATGTACGCCTCGATAAACTCGACAATGTTTGGATGGCGAAGCATTTTCAGGTTTTCAGGATTTGTTTCGACTCCGTGCGGGCCAGTTCACTGATGTGGAACAGTTTTCGATGTCTTGACGCCACTATCAGAGTACCCCCGAGATCGTTGAGCTCGAATTGTGCCTGGTAGTGTTTCCAAGGTGAGCCCTTTTCGACGTGTGATGGGCGATCCGACATGTTGTCGTGTTTCGGGCTATGTAAACCTCTCTCCGGGACCGCGGCCAAAACGCGCTCCTTTTTTGGTTCTCGGTCTGCTGTGGCAGGTGTCTATCATGTTTTTCTACTGTCGCATGAGCCGCAGGTCTGGCTCTAAGATTCGACGCAGCGGCATTTGAGGCGTTATAACCATTGGAAAAGATGGCGATCTGGGTCTTTCTGTTGGATTTCATCACGTTTGCTTCGATGTGTTCTACAAACGATCTGGCATCTTCGCAAGTATTTGATGGTGTATTAATATACCCATGGAGAGCAGATTTTGCATTGCGCAACGTGCACGGACGGTCAAGCTCTGAATGAGATGTGACTGCTTCACACAGTCGACAGCTAGTTTGGCTCCCGACGCAGCTTGTAGCTTTGTCCTCAGCCATGTCGGCTGCACAAACAGATGTCTCAAACGTCATCGCCCATTTGACGATCGCCTATGGTGACCAAGATAGGCGGATTCAATACATATGATAATTGTACACTGTCATTTCCTGGATTGAATGCGATATTTCGATGTAGGCAGAGCCAAGTTGGGCACAGCACGAGATGACTAACAGAGATTTGGGATTCGACTGTACGTATATACAGTATTCCCAGCGAAGCTAATAAACATCGTATCATTCGACATCTGAGTTATTTTACATCTGAGCACGGCCAGAAACAGGGCCATGCATATGCTGAATGACTGTACATCTGCTCTTGCCCGAAGGAAACATGACACCAATCCTTGAATGAACTGGGAAAAGGAAATTGAGAAAGACCAGCTCCCGACAACGTCTTCCGAGCCATCATTCCGTCTTGCGACGTAGTCCATCGAGTAAATATTGGTAGACGCCACACAAAACGCAAGATACAACCAGCCACCAGCCGGTGACGGTTGTAGTAGCTATCGACGTAGCAGACCACTGGCCCCCGTGCACCGTATAGATGTTGAGGATGGTAGACAGAAACCCGATGAGCGAGTTGACCAACGTCGGACTACAGCTTTGTGAGTGTCGACGCGCGTGGAACTCGGTCAAACACGGTTACACGGCGTCTTACATGATGATGTGTTGATGCACCCAGACGTAGTTTGCACGCCACTTGAACCACAGCCATGCCAGGCCGATGGATGCAACGCCCGAAAGCACAGAGGCAAGGGCAATCAGACAGTCGTTGACCCAGTATGACACCGTCTGCCCAACCTTGCCCATGCTTTCGAGAACTTGCGACCTCTTCAGCGAGGCGAACGTGGAAGGAAACACGATGTAACCTGCCAACAATAGCCACGAGAAGATCTTTGCCAGCAGAGACCACCACCAGTCTATCTCTTTGTCGTTTTCCAGCAACATCTGATCATATCTAGAGACGGCATAGGTCTTGAAATGCTCCTCGCTATCGTACGCGGGAGGAGTAGCGTCGTCGTCTTTCATGCCCGTCAACTACGGCGCGTAATGCCGTGAGAGTGCTGAAAAACAGATCAAAGAAAAGGCGAGGCGAATGATAGAAGTAATAAAGAGCGAAATGAAGCTCCCTTGTTCAGAAGAAAAGGGAAGAGAGAAGCGCATGGAGCCTTCGTGTGATCCAAAGAAAGAAAGAAAGAATTAAAAAAAGAAAGAAAAAAAACAGAAAGGCGAGCGAAGCGCCTCAAAAGCTCACATGGACTCCGACCTGTGCCGCCAGACTTTCTCTCCTACCCAGCCGTTCCAGTCTATCCGAAGTCCGCATAAATTCGGCTTCTTAAATTCGTTCATTGTCGGGTCTTGATGTAGGTGATGCCTCCTCGCAAGTTGGCAACGGCACAGACCGTCGAATCAAACTGCTTTGACGGCCTAGAATGCGGTGCAATTCGCCAGATAGTTTGCTCTTCCCTGCTGGATCCGCAACCGGGCCTTCGTTAGCAGCTCCTCCAGCTGGTCGATCAACTCAACGATGCCATGTACGAGACCGACGATGACCCGCCACAGCTGCCGTGCCGCCCTGAGCTTGCGATAGAGTGCATTGTTCTCCTGCTGCAAGATGTCGGAGACCATATCGTGCTGCTCATCGGCCTGTTTCGTAAGCCTAACAGCAGATCATCAAGCCCGAAGGTGTCGGAATAGACGCTTGACGTGCGACGAGGTTCCATCATTGTTGTGGCACCTTTCTGGTTTGGTGACGATCTGATTAAGTACTTTGGGGGCGTCCACATTTAGCTTCAGGGCTGCCAGCATTAAGTAGGCTCAGTTGCCATACTCGTGGATATGGAAAGTTCTTTTGCGATTCGATCGCAAAAACCCTACGGCTGCTGCGGTGCGGCTGCTGTGCTGGCAAAACGCAGATTCATCGCTGTTCGAGGGATGCTTCCCAGCTCCAGTCGCCGTCGGCTATTCACACCGTCACTATTCACCAATCACCCGTCTTCGCCCGATTGGCGGACATGTCGTCAGACACCCACCGATTTGAACTGTTCTGTCGGCGGCCTGCTTCCCTACGACTCGTCGCCGGCGTGGCTGAGCGCATCCTTTCAAGAGTCCTGCCCATCGGTAGCGACATATGGAACATCTCCTCAGATTTGGCGGTCTTCCTACGCCGTCTGCTGCTACGGGCTGATATCAGTGGTGCGGTACTCTGTGGTAGTCTCATCTACCTGGAGCGGGGCCTCCAGCGGCCACAGAACTCTCCAATGACGGAGGCGGATCGGCATTTACGCGTCCTGTCGGCCGTCATTCTGGCTCGGAAATATCTAGAAGATGTCACGTACAGAACGTCATTCTGGACCAGCCTCGCGGCCGAAACATGCTCATTTCATTTTGCAACCGATGATATCAATGTCGCGGAAAGCAAACTTCTGGCAGATATAGCTTGGGACTTGAGTATAGATTACCGGGAGATGCACAGAATGGTAAAGCAGATCCGTGGCTCGAATACTACCCCAGCGCTATTGAGCCACGAGCCCATCTCTACCCAATTCTAGAAGCAGGAGCAATAGCGTGTGACTAGGCTGATCTGATTCGGCCGGAATGTAGATGTCAACTTTACCATCCATGATTTGAGCTGGCTTTTGGCTTATCAATTTGGATTTCGTCCATAACATCGATGATTCCCTATTGAGTTCCTCCTTCAACATCCACAGGCGAAATGCCGGATGGTCAAGATACGTTAGTGAAATGAAACTTTTCCGTCAAAACGCCCGGTAGATGTTGCAATCACAACGAACGCGGGACCTGCAAAATGATCGTCGTCGAGCAAGAAGACGAAACGACCATATGCTCGGACAGTCCGAAGCGACGAACTAGAAGACAAGTTTCAATTCCTGCTTTTGAGAAGCATCGTAGGCTTCTCCAACGGCGGGAATTGGTCTTTGTGTACCGTACCCTTCCGACGGGAGCAATCAGCTCCCAATGCGCCAGAAACACAGCTTCATTTTTGAGAGCCCGTCTCAGCTGCAACGACGGGGATGTGATTCCCAATGCAGTGTTCAACCCCTGTTGGAAGGGTCAAAAGCGGTGCAACGGTTTCCACTGCTACAGCCAGAGTTGCGCTGGTCGTCAAAAAAAGAAGTGGATGAGAAAGATACATTATTAACCCCGAGGCACTAGCGCCCAGATTCAGCGCAGCGCCAGATCTGGTCGTAGCCAAGAAAAGCCTCAGACGATAAAGGCGGACCCGTCTGAGAAGGTGGAGTGGACGATCACATCAAAAAGATGCTCTACTGGATGGTCCCGCCAGATGTTGGCGCCAGATCGGGCCGCACCCACTTACGCCCGGGCCGGAAGCCGCCTGCGGAGCCACTTCCGTCTCCTGCTGCTCTGCAACCGACAGTCCAGATCCAGCACCCCGGTCACTCTACATTTTCCTCGCCCCGTCTGGACCTGGTCTAGACCCCGCCCGCCAAAAGGCAACCGCCGGCCGTTTGTTCATCTGGAAGCCGCAAGTATAATGTTTTCCGCCAGCCCCTGCCACAACGCTCACTAAGCGATGGTCAAGATGCAAGAATAATTGTTTTCCCAAATGCTACAGTATATTGTACTGTACGGTCTGCGTTCAATGGCAGCTAGTTGCTGCAGGAGTTCTGGTGAGCCTGTTGCCGCCTACCGCGGCAGATCCCGCACCGAATCCCTAATGAATCTCAACTTTCGTTGGAAGGCGTAGCTGCACGATATTGTTCATGTCAGAAGCCGCGCCCGATACTACAATCGGACAGTCGTGAGCTCCGTGTCTCAACGTGAAATGATGGGAGACTTCCACCATAACCTCTAGTGGCCATCTGAATGAATCCTCCGCCGATGCGTCGAGTGCTGGCACAGCGGCTTCTTGAATCCTCTTATGGGACATAGTTCTTGATACCAATTTTGCCCCAGCACGGTCATATGGCGGGTGGATAATCTGGTCGTGACATCGCGCGCGCGCACCATCTGCCGTCGCAACTTCCTGACCAACGGGTATACAATATCTCGGGCTGGTCTTTCATGCTCAATCGTTCGAATGAACCCTGACAAGGTGCGCTCTGTGCCAGTGGGAGAAGCTGAGCGAATCGGGCTTGTTCGTTGCTGAATTCCCCTTGTGGATATATGCCCTGATGCGCATCACGTAGTTGGTGTCTGGCTGACTGTCTTCTGGCATGTAGTCTCCAACTTGTAAGTATGTCGTGAACGACATGGCACGCGCTCGGCTGATGTGAATTGACTGCATGAACATGGAGGCTCTGGTACACTCGACCCTCTCAACCAGCTCTTCGCAGGTGCGCAGCCGGCAGCTCTTTCTCACGTAGACACAGAAGCTCGAGCGCGTTGTCCACGACGCCGCTCAAAGGCTATGCGACGAGTTCCTAACCCATTGCGGATGTGGTCAATTCGATATTCCCACGGGATACGGCAGCTACAGGCCTTGAGTCACCAATGAGCACTGCTTCGGAGAAACCCCGTCTTTTTCTGTCAGCCCGGTTCGCCGATGTTAGCGATGAGTGATTTTGCCAAAGAGGGCTTGGCAAGCCATTGACAGAGACGCATATAACACTAGTGTGCAGACGGGCCAAAGCACAGGGGTTTTGTCAATGCTGTCACCCGACTTGCCAACCGAGCAGAAAACAGACGCGCGACCGTATGTTGAGGCAGACGCATCCCTCGCTGCTGTGACCGAGACGATAGCGACGGTGCTCGATCTTGTGAACGTACTACATGCTGAAGAGTACGGCTATCCTGGCGGAGATGACGCCATATTCTTTGCTGGCGAGACATCTGGAAGCGTTGCAAGATTGATTGATTTGCGAACGACTGCACCTCAGCTTTCGCCTTGAACGTTCCTTCTCGCTGCCCTATGAATTTTCTCGGGCAACTTCTTGCGTATGTCGTCCTACTCAAGCCTAGGAACTCCGGACGTATCTCCTCGTGTTTGATAGAGCCACCGTCGTCCTGTGCCGAGCAGGACCAGTAACGCAGCTGCCCGCTTGTATTGAGGCACCCGTACACAGCTTGCCGCTGAGCGCCCGAAGATGCTAGCCAGCCAACTTTTACGTACCGTAGACGCATAGGCCTTCTAGTCGGTACTCTATGTGACGGTTTCGGTTGCGCTCTGTGCTTTTTGGGCGGTTGTCGTGAGGATTGCTTTTTGTCGTTCGGTTGTAGTCGGGGATGTTGGTGCTGTTCGGGCCGAGCTGCTGCTTTCGGGACTATGAACTTGTAAGCGCCTGTTCACTATGCGTACACAACACGTACCTGGCCTTGAACATAAGAAAGTCACGTCGTCCCCAGAGTCGTGGCCCAGTGGTGATGTCCTCGTCGTTGCGAATGCTGCGGCTCTTGGCACTGCGTTTGTGGTAGATTCTGGTATGCTCCACGTACTAGGTCTCGAGCCTAGATGTATCACATCGTCGTGGTGGTTCCCATTTGAGCTCAACGCCGTCGTTCTCGTTTCCGATACCATATCCATCGACCAAGTGTCTGTAGTCCATGCTGAAATGACGTTGCAAAGGAGCGCGCCACTCACGGCTGGTGCTTTCGTTGGGATGGTCAGAGAAGCTCGGACCACGTCAGCCATCCACTGCTGGATCAATCAAGGAAGGCGGGATCAAAGTTTCCCTGCCTCCATGCGGTCTGTTTTTGCGGCAATCAAGTCAGTCTGGGACACCCTTCACTTCACGCTGTTTCTGGGCGCACGACTACCCATAGAGCATCCATGTAATTGGCCCAAAGTCAATGACTATATTGCTTGAAAGTTTGAGCAAAGGATCAGCGTGACGGAGTGCCATGTTCGAACTGCGCAGGCGAAGCGCAGCGGCACAGATTCGCCTGCAGTGATGCTGCGTTTAAAGAGAAGCCTTAGCCCAAAAAAATCATTCTTCTTAGCTACGCTACGTATACCAATTCAGAGCCACCGTCATACGTCCTTTTCTTTTCTTTTCTATCAAAGGCACATCCTACCGCTTGAAACTCGGCTGCTTACGGCTTGCGCC